ATGGGGGCTGGCAGGAGAAAGGAGATGGGCAGGGATCCCCACCCCCAATTCCCAGGCTGAGAGGGAAACACTTCAGGGCCAGCTGAGGACCAAATGACAGCTCAGGTGGAAAATGTCCCTTGACTAGAGCAAGGACACACAGGGAGCCATGTCCCGTGCTGCTGTCTGGGAAGCCCTAAGAGTGGGCCTGCTGCAAGGATGGAACCCTGTCTACTGGGGGCCTGGGCTGCAAAGTTATGCTGCTGGCCAAGGCCACTCTTGGAAGCACTAGTCTATTGTTAGTCCAGTGTAAATTGTCTTACAGAGAGAGGGCAGTGGTGGTTCAGTGGTAGAATTATCACCTTCCATGCAGGAGATAGGGGTTCAATTCCTGGCCAATGCACCTCATGTGCAGCTATCACCCATCTATCAGTGGAGGCTTGCGTGTTGCTATGATGCTGAACTTCCAGACTGAGATGGACTAGGAAGAAAGGCCTAGCAATCTACTTCTGAAAATCAACCATTGAAAACCCTGTGGATCACAGCAGTTCGAATCCATTGTACATGGGGTTGCCAACTCTACGGCAGCTAACAACAATTGTCTTATGTTATAAAATGGTAGAGGGCAGGGATTGGGCTGGCTGAAACACCTTCCTACCATGCCTAGCAGAGTCCCAGGAAGGTGGCTGTCAACACTAAGGAAGCCCTATAACCCAGGGCTAGCTCAGGACTACCCCCTTCTAGCAGAGAAGCTGTCCACCCCATCCTCCTACAAAGGGGGTAGGGGCAAGATAGGGTGTGGAGGCAAGATAGGGTGTGGAATCATGTACTCAGTCTCTTGGATGCCTATTTTCAACCCATAACAGGCCCAAGAGAGCTGTCCAATTGCATGTGATAAACCCTTAATCCAACAGTGGAAAACCAGCCACACAGACTTGGGAAGCTGGAGGCAGAAGTCAGTGTCAAGACCTGCACCAGGGCCCCTCCCCTAGCTGTTGAAAACAAGAGTCATTCATTCCCACCCTCCCTGTGTCTAGTACATCATCATGCACACAGTGGTGGCTCAAAAACCCCTGATGACTTTCTGATAAGGTTACCTACCTTGCCTGCCTTGGCCCACATCTGGAACATCTCCCACCCTGCACAGCAGCAGCTCTCTCATCTTGAACATCTTCCCTATCAGCAATGAACATCAAGTGAGAGAACGCCTCTAGACCCGGCCACTGTAGATGGTTACGCATGATGGGAACAGCACCCCCTAGGGTAGTGCAGGGACCAACCTGCACATCTTCCATGGCAGCCCTGCTCTGAGGAGGAGCAGACTCTGTTCCAGCCACTGGGCGGCCGAGGAGTCAGCATCAGCTACCTTCCTCCTACTTTCTCCCTCCAGACTGAGGCCTCAGACCACAGAGGCCTCTGAACTGCATTCACCACCCCTGCCCTTGTCCCCGGAAGCACCCATCTTGGGTGGGTCCAGGGTGCAAGTCAAGTGGCCCCGAGCACTGACAGCAGTACCGCCCTCTTCCTGCACAGCAGGAACCTCACAGAGCAGTGCCATACAGGATGGGGCTTTCCTCCAAACTGTGACCACAGAAGCCACAGCCTCCCAGCTCCCCAGCTCTCCCCCCACACACCCCTGAGGGCCTGACTCACCCCTCTTCCTTCTAGACCTTGTTCAGGGTCAGTTCCTCTAGCCCTCTGTGGCAGGAAACGGGATAGGGGGGTGTAAGGAGTCACAGTCAAATCAGGGTGAGGAGGTGGCAGGAGGCGAGTGGCCAGGCTGCACTCTGCCCAGATTGCTTGAAGGAAGACAGGACCTGGGTTTGAGGAGCTGCCCAGGAAACCCAAGAACACGGTTTTCAGAAATGTGACAGGAAAGAGCTGTGAGGTCCCCAGGGCACTATAATCATTCAAGAGATCTTCTGAGCTTGGGGAGGACAAACTGTGCTTCGAGAGGGGAGGGAGGTCTCCCTAAGGGTGGAGGGGATTTCTCTCCACTAGCTTGCTGCTGATCTCGTGATGAGTTTCAATTCCTTCCTCACCACCCAGGTTCCTTCCTGCCCTACTCGGCGGGGAAGGCCCCCTGGCCCCCTGTGCCCACCACGCACCAGCTCACCACGAGCCCTTTTCTCCTGACGTGCTCACACACACTCACGTACAAACATTCGCTTTCCCAGGGTCATGATACCATTATTTTTTTCCAGCCAGCCAAGGCTCCCTGATGGATGCAAAGGTCACAGTCAGGCACAGTGTGTCTGAAGGGGCACCCAGACCACACAAGACCCCCCTCCTTTCCCTCATAGTGGAAGACCCCACTGCAGTCGGTACATCTCTCCAGCCCGGCAGCAACCCATCCAACAGGCAAGGTTCCCCCTTAGCGCCTCGGCCACTCTTCCCCCAAGAGAACTCTTGAAACCCCTTGCTTTCTAACCCAAGCAGGCCTTATCTGAGCATGCAGTCACCTAGCCAGATGTGACGGGAAAGAAAAACCAAACCCCTTGCCATCGAGTTGATTCCAACTCATGGTGATCCCATGTGTCACAGAGCAGAACTGCTCCATAGGGTTTTCTTGGCTGTAATCTTTATGGAAGCAGATCACCAGACCTTTCTTTCGTAGTGTTGTTGGGTGGGTTTGAACCACCAACCTTTCAGTTAGTAGCCAAGAACAAACTATTTGCGCCACCCAGAGACCTAAGCCAGTTGCTGTCAAGTTGATTCCAACTCACGGTGACCCTATGTGTGTCAGAGCAGAACTGCGCTTTGTAGGGTTTTCAATAGCTGATTTTCTAAAGTAGATCACCAGGCCTTTCTTCCAAGGCATCTCTGACTGGACTCAAACCTCCAACCTTTTGGTTAGCAGCAAGAGTGTTAACCGTTTGTACCACCCAGGAACAATGTGATTTGAGGGAAAGTAAAAAGGCCCTTTCTCCCATCCCTGCCCC